GGGGCCTCCACTGAAAGTCATTTTGTTTTTAGAAGCCCTCGAGTAAGTAAATTGGAAAATTAGGGGTGGTCCCAAAATTCCCGATAGAAGGCTTCGGATAATGTCCTTTTCATTACGTCCGCCAACCTTCAATAAACCACCCACCTGTAAGTAACCGGTTAGAAGTGAATTTGAACACAAGCGTACCGTTTGCTGCAGACAGTCTTTGTCTGACTTGAAGCGTTCAAGGAAATGACTCAGGCTCTCTTGTGAGCAAAGTGGCAAACGCCCCACTGCTGCCATCGAGCATGTAGGTATTGAACGGTGGCTGTCAAGGACAGCAGCACCAACTTGCTCAACTTTGCCGAGGAGCACACTGTGCTCCGCAGCAATGTGGTTCACTCGCTTCACAAGCATGTCAGGTCTTGTACTATGATAAACCATCACAAGGCAAGGGAGGAATCCTTACCGTATACAGTCATTTTCTAGTCTATTGACTGCTTCAAAGTCGTCTAACCTTTTACTAAGAGAAGCGTAATGAGCAATATCAAGCGGTCTTCCGTAATCTTATCATACGCACGCCTATTCAATTCATTACTTTGTCCAATAAAAGCCTCTAGGGCTTCAAAACGGGCTTCAAAGCCGGCTTTAGGACGGGCCTCCATTGCTTTCATCGAAGCCTGCATCGTTGCTGGGAGCATATCAGCTGACTGTAACGTTGATGCAGCGGCAGTTGCTGGAGAATTAGCAAGGGAGCGCATCCTGAAGTATGTTAAAGTAATAGTCCTTACTGAGACGTGCTTGGCCAACCGACGGCGCGTTCAGCCGGTGGCGGCTCATTTTATTTATCACTTATGCCATCTTCAGAATCCGACGTTAGCAGACGACGAATCCTAGAAAAGGAAACATTAGTTGTACTGAACGCTTACTTCCTTCGGCAACCCTTGCCTTTCTGCGTTGGTTCAGAGCTGGACAGATCAGAGGTCTCCTCCGCCAGCTTAGCGTGACGGCGAGCCTCTTCTAATGTGAAGTAGTTACCCAGTATCCTAACTGGGTAATAAGACGTGCCCTCTGGTGGCCGCTCCTCCGGCTCCTCCGGCTCCAAACAGCGTTTTCGCACTTTTCGCTTATCTGGCCACATGACACGACTCTTGTCGTGCTCGTGGAACCACTTCTCTCCAACAAAATCAACAGAATTTTCAG